CGCTGCTCCCGGCTGCCCCGCGGAGCAGGGAGCGCAGGCACCGGCCCTGCGGCGCGGAGCGGTGCGAGTCCGCGCTCGCTGTGAACAACAGTATAAATGCTTGGTCCGGGAGGACTGGCCCGCAAGAGGCTGACCCGGGTTTGTGCAGCGCACGGGCTGGGTTCCACCTGTCACCAGGCGGCAGCCAGAACCCTGTTCGTGGATGTCGTTCCGTGAGGTTTTGGTAGGGACTCAGCTGAAGCTCAGGTCCGAAATGGTGTATGAAAGTTAAAAGGTGTCGTGCGGCGAGAGCAGCCTTCCACAGTGCTTCATTGCATTCGACCCACTCGGTGTTTCAAAAGACTGTGCCTGAAAAATGCTGGGTTTTGTCCTTTTGTTTGCTGTGACTCAGTTGTTCCAGCATTTATTTCTGTGGATTGATCCTCTCTTGGGGCAGGTGGATAGGATGTAGTTGGGTGGCGTCAAGTAGCTGTGCACCAGCCTGCTGGTCCTGGTTCCCAGAGGGGAATCCCAGCTTGGTATAATTCAGAACAGTAGTAGTTAGTGTGTGTTGTACTGCTGTACAGTGTGCACCCACAGCCATACATCGGATGAAGCTATGAATTAGTTTGAGGATAAATTTGATGGGTTTGCATTATGCAGGTTTTTTTTATACGAGTGAGAATTGAAAAATGGTGAACAGTCTTTGTTTTTGATTTCAGCACCTATATTTCAACATTTTGAATGTTTTGCCTCCTTTCTGAGCTCAGTGTTGGTTGCTGTTTACTCTTCTTGCTAAGTGATTGTTCTTATGCTGCCATATGGTTGCTGATGTACATCAGCATAAAAACCATTACTGATTGTGAGGGACCCTAATGAAAAAAACATCTTGAACATTCAGAATTTTTTAGGATTAGTTCCAGGTTTCATGGACTCAGAATAAGTAGCGTTAATAGTACTCATGATACTCAAACAGGAAGAGTTCTCAAACTTTTAAACTTAAACTCTTCTTTATTGTACGTCCTGTGTTGCTTGTTACACTTCAGATTTTGCATTTGTCTCATTTATTACCTTTTAATTTGAAATGCAGATTTCATTGTGGGTGACTGACTTTATTGCCACTTGGTTATTATTTTTTTTTAGAAACACTAGACCAGTCTTAACTGAACAAACAAGTTTTCCTGCAGTTGAGAACTAGACTTGCGTATTTCAGATGTGGTTAACTTGTCAAGAATTGTGATATTATAGATACTATCCAAACCAGATATTTTTGGTGGGGTATAGGTTTTCTAGGTACATTGTTCCTGTTGACATATAGATTTTTAACTGTAGTTGGTGATAGCACCTCTTTTTATAAAGCAAAATATACTATTTTAGCTTTCATTCAAATGTTGATAAGAGGATTTCTACGCCTTTACAGTTACGTGGATGTAAGCTTTAAACCCCATCTGCTTATTGAGAAATAAGTTTCTTGGTACTACTTGCTCAGAAGCTAAATTAAACAATAGTTTTCCTACTGTCAAGCTGGAGGGGAGCAGGTTGGACAGGGTCTAGCAGGAATTTTAAATTCTAGCACTTCAGATACTGGAACGCCGTTGACATTCTCACCTAGTGGCTTTTCCAGGCTACCCACTGCAGTTAGTCTGTCACCCACAGCAGAGGGCACTTCTGATTTAATGAACACTACAGCATTTTCCCACCATCTGTGTAGAGAAGCTTCCTTTCAGATTTACACAAAAGAATTTCAACATGTGTGCACATGCATTTTTTTAATAATATTTCTGCAGTTAATTTTGCAAAGTGTTTTATTGATTTTGAGAGCCCTAACGCAAGATGGTGTTGCACTGGTACTAGAGAAGATTTGATGGCTGGGAGTGAGCAAAACAATGGAAAAAACACAAGATCTAAACCTAAGTAAATTAGATTTGGGATTATCTTAAACTCATTAGGATTGATTTTATAGCCTTTTAGCCTATCGAATTTGCTTGCAGAGTAGCTGCTGAATAAAATTGCTTGAGAGCTGGAAATGCCTATAGCTCCTTTTTAGAATTATCCATAATCCTTGTTTGTACCTATTTATTAGGTTAATGAAAGTTCCTTTATACAGGGATATTAGCCAGTGTCTTCATAGCAGTTTGGTCTGGGCTGTACAGTTAGGATGTGCATGTGTCTTTCCATGTCATGAATCATAGAGTAAAATTAATTTATTGTAATAATAAAATTTCAAATACCTAAATAAAATTACTTAATAAAGAAATTCTGTGTTTCCATAATTTATTTCAAGGTATGTTCTCAACAAAACACTAACTAGGTACCAAACAAGTTTGTAGTTATTCTTAAGATTGTCTTGTTGATTTCAGACACAGTTTCTTAAATCTAAAACTCATAGTCCCCAGAGCTGAGACAAACTCCATCCTAAACATGCTTTTAGTCACATCTGGTTCTGCTCCTGTGTTTCCCTGTTGAAGTCATAACTACTATATGTGATTTAGGTTTGACTATTTGTGAGATTGAGATCTGTGCAACTGGATTCCTGTCTTTTTAAAAATGCATTTTCTTAAAATTCCTGGTAGGGTTTGTCATTTAGTAGGATGAAGTTGTGTCACTTCAGCTGACATGGAAATTGGAGAAATAGCTATGGAGCCGTGGCATTAGTGAGTTCCTGCATTTCCCTAAGGTCGAATACTGAAGGTGGGATATAACTGCACCAAGAGTCCAGATAGAGCAAACGGCTGTTCCACATGCAGCGCTGTGATGTGGTTTGCTTGTGGTTTGGCTGATACTGTTACACACAACTGCAATGGAGTGAATTGTTCCATAACACAGGGAACTTCCTAACTATCATTTAATACGTTTATTACCTCTTTTACATTTATTAGACCTCTATTACAGGTCTGTCTTTGCAATTGAAACCTAATCAGAATATTTGTCCTGATTCGTAGTGGAATCAAATCTATAGTACCAGGGAGAGAAGAAGTGCATGTCCACATAACTTCAGTGTGGTTGATTTTGATTAAGGTTTGGCTGAAGTATACAGCTGTCTTTACATCTTATTTGAAAGAGAGACTGAAGAAATATCCTTAAGTGTTGCTTTTGAATATACTGCATAATACTGATTCCAGGAAATAATTTCTTCTTGCATTCTCTTTTTCTTTGTTCACACAGATAAGGAAGATGAATGTCTGTATCTTTTTTTTTCTTTCCCTGTTTTTTTGCTGCCTTTGTTCTTTCTTGTGTGTACATTATCAGAGAAACAATGGTATAAATGGGACACAGGGTTCAGAATTTGTCTCTTACAGAACAGGCAAGTCAGATTTATAATGAAAGTATAGAAAACGATGAAAGTACATGTTGCAATATATTAGGAATGGTGAAAGTAACAACACAGACTGTCTAGCTTGGTTGCACAAGAGAGCAAGTTTTATTCTTCCAGATCTTTTATAGACAGTTCTGAGAAGGTCTGAAAAGGTAAACCTCTCATTGGTCATGAAACTAACATATCACCCTCATTGGACAATTAGGAACACCATCCCTTGACCGTTTCTTGCAAGAAAATAACAAGGTGACAAACAACACCCTCAAAGATTGTTTTCTTTCTCTAAGGATTGTTTGGATTCCTCCTTATGATTTCTCAGACCAGAGTGAGAAAGTTGTGTGACTTATTTTCACACAGGCTCAAGCTGATGCCTGAAGTCTAAAAATCTCTTATTTGGCCATTGTCAGTTCCCACAAGTACACACTACAGGGGAAGATGAAGTAAGTTGGAAACTGCCACAGTCTTATAGCTCTAAAATTTGAAAGGTGATGTGAAAAAAAACTTCCTTATACAGTTTTGGTAAAGTATAAAGAAATGGTTTCTTCTTTCCTTGTCATGCACTTAATACTTCTTTCCTTGTCATGCACTTAATACTTAAGTTGGTTAATAGTTGGATCATGGTAATGTCAGTAATCTGATGGGCAAAATACTGAATTTTGAGCTTGTATTTTGAAAAGCACTGTAGGAAAGAATGTGTTTGTTTTTTACTTGTTCTCTGTATAATATACATCCATTATTTTGCTGGCCCAAGATCTTAAACAATCTTTAGCTTCAGACAAATGAGTAGTTCTGTGAGCTCTGGAATTAAAGGAGTCTTTTTTCCTTCAGGTTTGTTTCTCTTTTTGATAGATACTAACACACAAAGTGTGAACCTTTCCAGTAGGGGGCAGTTTATAAATCCCTTGCATTATTCAATTACTGTTTTCAAGAAATGGTTGAATTGAGAGGACTGTGAAACCTTTATTTTCTTGTCTTTAGGATAAGCCATTGGTGCAAATTGAAACCATGGAGTCCATGCTGAATAAGCTTAAGAGCACTGTCACAAAGGTGACAGCTGATGTCACCAGTGCAGTCATGGGAAATCCTGTTACCAGGGAATTCGATGTTGGGCGACATATTGCCAGTGGAGGTAATGGTCTTGCATGGAAGATATTTAATGGAACTAAAAAATCAACAAAGCAGGTGAGTTATCAAGTAAAAAAAAGTCATCTGACAAGAAGGAAGAAGTTTGCTTTAACATGGATTGGTTCCCCATTTTGTTGCACCTTGCAACTTTTTTTTGGTAACAATTCTGACTTTTTACAATTTAAAACAACCATGAAGTGTGTCATCATTTGTTGTCAGCAAAAGACACTGTCATTTTTTGCTCAGCTACCATACAGAAATTGAGCAGTTAGAAATTAAGTTAATGAGATATTGTAACAGGAAGGCATGGGATGGAGGAGGGGGTTGTGAAGGAAGTTAGCTATGCTTCCCCTATGCTGCTTTCAGATCAGTGTTGTTCCCTTTTAGTTTCCTTAAAGTATTAAGGTTTGGAGCACTAATACTGAAACCTTGACTCACTTGAAGTCACATTTATAAATACATAAATATGGGACTGTGACTTCAGAAGAGGGTTTGCCAAAAACAGAGTTTAAGAATTGCTATTACAGAAAATGATTTTGTTACACTGTAGAAATATGAAAAGGTTTCTTTTCAAATTTGGGGAGGAAATTCAGTTTTCAAAGTGTAAATAGAAGTGTTAATAAATTATGGTCTTTACTTAAGCGTAATACTTAGACAATATATCATCTTTCTGCACATGTACCAAAAAGAAATGGACACAAAGGAATAACTTTAGAAAATGTTTACACAATCTTTTAGATCATAGTCAAATAAACAGTAGCAAATAGATAAATGTAATACACAGAAAAAATAATATGCAAAGAATGTGTCATCTGATTCTGTGTGACAGATTCTGAGTAATATTTAATCATGTACTTTTGCCATGTTTTCATGCATTTTTTTAGCTGCTGCAGATCTCTGTGCATTTGCTGAATTTACCCAACATAGAGTTGATTGGGGCTTTTTTTTGGTCCTGCTCATCTATACAAAGAAACGATAATATTGGAAGCATGGTAATTTTGATAGGTTTTATACCATCTATGTGACCAGTAAACATTTGACCTGCAGCACATGTATCCTTGAGGTGTGGAGAATTATGGCAAGTTTCTTTCACTGTAGAGTTGACAGAGTACATATAACTAGGTTCCTGTTGATCAAGCTTTTCAAGCCTTGAATGGATGTTCTGACCAATAATTTTACAGTTTCAGTTCAGGTGCTCCATGTGGTCCTGTAATATCTCTGTAAACTCTGAGTAACATCTGTGTAGTTGTATGCCATCATTAGTGATTAAAAATACAGCAGCAGTTGTACTGCATGGAATTTTAGATGGCTGGTGTTTTGACACGCAGTTACCATTCATTATTAATATTACAGTTAGGTAACATCATGTCAACATTCACTTTGACATTGCAAAACAAAACTGTGCAGCAATACAGCTTATGGTGTGTTGTATTGCAATATAATGTTCTTTAACTGTTGCAATAATAAGGGACTCAGTTTCTTCATGAAGGAAAAGCAGAACCTGTATTGCCTAGGTCATATTTTATAGGATTATCAGAAGGCACTGTGTTATATCTAATTTGCTGACAATAAACTGACACTCAGTTCATTGGTCAGTAAATGGGATTTTGCATGTTTATCAAACGTCTCTATCCCTGGATTGTTTACATATCTTCTTCACTGATTCTCATGGGATCAGTTTATTGTTTTTACAGGTGCAAACTTATTTTTCTCACAAGAATAAATTGTTGTGCTAACTGACTTTCATTCTTACGATATTTTCTCATGGGAGCAGAGTAGCTGTTAGCTGCACCCAGCAGAATCAGCAGGCCTAAGCCATGATATTATAAGGCCTTCCTTTTATAAGATTTCTACCTGTATGCAACATTTAACATTTTTTATTTCTCTCCCATGTACTTTCTGAATGTTCTTTGGCTGGCTGTCATTTTCCAGGTGATAGCAGTCACTTTTGCAGAGTTGCACATATTTGCTGTATTACAAGCTTGAAGCTACAAGCTTTTTTTGCAGTGTATATTGTAATCAGACAAGGAGGATGTAAGGGCTTAATTACCCCTGTTGTTGTCACTTTGTCACAACACAAGTAATAGTTTAAGTCATTGTAGCCTGGTAAAACAGCTAAATGTAGAGGTTTTAACATTACAGCTGTAGATCCCATCAGAAATCTTTGCTTTCAGGATTATTTCTGTTCCTGTTTTACGCCAGTGGACAGTTACAAATATTCTATCTCTGGTGACAGTAGATATTTATAACTGTCTTCTTTTCTGAGTTCTGCCTGGTTTCTGCCTTGCCGCTTTTCCAGGATTTCTGAATGTTTATCTGTTATTATTTTTTTAATGTACTTTGTCTTTTCCTGCTTACTGTGTAGGTGACTGAGTAACAACCTAACAGAATGTGAGAAAATTACTTACCTACGTGCATATGTTTGTCTGGTGCTATTTCATAGCTGATTTGCTGGTGTTTTTTTGAAAGATTTATGAGTCACTCTGGTTATATATAGGTGTATAATTTCACAGTATGTATTTCAGCTCATCTTAGACTTTTTGCGCTTATACTTTTTCTGACATAATATGGTACTTGTCCTTCTGCTTAGAAAGTACAATCATAAATAGATAAGGTAAGGTCACAAAGTACTTGCCAGCTCAGTTGTAAAGCTATCAGAATTCAGAAGGTAGGTCCCAACAATAAGGCTACAGTCAGGAGGGACCAAATGGCCTTGAGTCAGCTGGGTAAGCATCTGGAGCACAAATTGAGTTCTCTTCTGCCAGATGCAGGGAATAATGAGTTTAAACAAACGATGCAGGATTGCAGCAAGCACCAATAGAACTTACTTAGACCCACCACAAAATATTCAAACCATAGCTGATTTAAATACTCACTTTCTGATTCTTTTCACTTACCATCAAACAAGGTTTTTTTTCAGAAGTGCTGTCTTAATTTGAGATTTTGTTATTGGTCATGTACTGTTCAGTGTATGTCTTCCATCCCTGTCATAGTTCTTCTATGCCTTGTGTTAATGTTTGAGCTATCACACTTAAAATTTGGAGCAGGGAGCCAATATGGATAGAGGCAGGAGAAGTGTACTTAGTTGAGCTAATTAGAAGTATTCACCTGCTAACAGCTTAATGAGAATAGTTAAAAACCAATATTTTGTGTACTGGGCTGAATTTTATATTTTGGATAGTCTATTTCTAAAAGTTTATAGTTTGTTTTTTTTTAATAAATAATATAGCTGTTCTGGTGAGATTTTAATTAGAGTAATGGTTATAAAATGTGCAGTAAAAGAGCACAGAGTTCCTCTTGGGACTGAAAACTGTATTTTCATATTATTCTCTGCTGCTTTCTAACCTTTATTACTATTCATAATGCTGTTGTAGCAGCACATAAAAGTCTGTTTCATCATAGAAGTTTTTAATTCCTTTTTTCATCAGCTGATAAATTTCACATTAACAACTTCCCAGATGGTGATGTAATCTTTCATTTTACATTGACCTCTGTAATTTCAGTTTCATACAAATTTCTTAATTTTCTCCTGCTCCAGTTTCAGAAGGCAGAGAGGTTTTCTCTGGTTTTAACATTTTTGTGACCTTTTTTTACACGTCTTTAAACATTACAAAATTCTTAATGTTTTATCATGTGAATGGTCTAATCAGATTAATAGACTACTGTGACTATTATGTCAGATTGTACTGGTTTGAAAAGAGTACTGAGACAGGACCTGGTTATTAAAGCAACACTTGATATATACTCGGAATATTTTAACAGTTCATTGTTGATACAAATGCTTTCGTCTACTTAAAATCAAGCCGATTTCTAACTGTGGATCTGCTGCTTTGTCACTGTGTAGGCTGGGGTTATATTTTATGCAATACTGTTTATACAATAAAGGAGCATTAGTACCTTAACTCAAAATATCTATTTCAGAGTTTATATGTAGTAACCTCTCCCATGGCTGGGACTAAGTAACAAAAACAAGTAATTTAATTTGTTTGGTTATTCTTGTGGTGGGATTGTACTGCTGATTGAAAAAACATTTGTATATAATTGTGTATAGGCTTAGGTTTTGACTGTGTTATATACTGAGTGAATTCTGTTGCTTATTTTCAGGAAGTGGCTGTTTTTGTCTTTGATAAGAAGCTAATAGACAAGTACCAAAAATTTGAAAAAGATCAGATTATTGATTCCTTAAAACGAGGTGTTCAACAGCTAACTAGGCTTCGACACCCTAGACTACTTACTGTTCAACATCCATTAGAAGAATCCAGGTAAGCTGTAGTAGAGAACAGTTATTTTTAATCATTGTTTTGGTATTGGATATAAACTGTCTGAAACATTCAATGCATGCATCTGGTGAGATTTAAGTTTAGTGTATGTATTTATTTATATGACAAGGTATTCACCCTACCCACCCATCTCCGCCCCTGGCCATAGAATGCAGTTCTGGTGTGAATCTAATTAATCTAATTAATAATCTATTCCTTGATTTTAGTCCAGCTGAAGCTGCAAGACTACACATGACTATTACTGCATGAAAATTTGGTGCTTTAATTGATTTTGGTTTTAAAGAACAACATTAAAATGGTTTTCTCTTAAAACTTATTCATACATTTTGCTCCATGTATGAGATGTATTTAGTAGATGTGAGATTAGTGATTTTTGGTAAATTGTATGTATTGCAGGTAAATACGTGTTGAAAATGCCCTTAAGTGTCAGTCAAGGGAGACAAAATTCTCCATGTTCTTCTAGTGTTTATTTGACTTATGAAAGGTTGGTCGATGGGCACAATAACTGGTTAGTCTTACAGATTTATTGTTCAGCTGTAGGGAATCAAAAATCTAACAACGAAAATCAAGGTTTCATGTTAAATATCTTGATCTTGATTCTACCAGAGAAGATCATGGAGGTTTTAGGATTTTTTTCCCCAAACAGGAAGGGGGTTGGACTAGATGATTTCCAGAAGTGTTTTCAAACCCCAGCCATTCTGTGATCCTAAATGGTAGCCTGGTAAAGATACATTATATAATGTCCTTCCTTCCTGTGGTTTCTTGAATTTTTCCAAATGGCTTCTAGGAGCCTAGAATACTGTAGGAATGCTTCTTCATCTTTGCAATGCCTGCCTTGAGACAGGTTTATTGGATTAAATTGCACTTGCATATTCATATCTATATCTCCTTCAGTACTAAACATATTCCACATTGACAGGGATTCAAAGCTGTCATTGCAGGTATGATCTAGTATGTCCCTTACAATGGCATAAAGAAAATCAATTAAGTAGTTGAAGACAGCTTTCAGTATTCTGTAACAGTAAATAAGCTATTACATGCTAAATGGCCCAGGGTCATCTCAAATTACAGTGTATGCAAGTGAATCCCGGAGTACACCTCAGGCTTCTTCCTAAAATTGTCACAGTTTTCCAGTTGACTCAGCAACTTTTCCCCTGAACATTGCCTTTCAGAAGAAAAGGCTAAGATTCATACCTTTAAGGAAGCTTTGGTGGCATTCTTATGAAGCATTTAAGGCTTTTGAGTAAAATTAACAGTGTAGTTACAGCAGAGTTCTTCGTGAGTTTTTAGTAATGCCTTACACCTTGCTTCTGCTGTTTTTGTTTCCATACTCAGCACAGTGAGCTGCTGGTAGAAACACCAGAAGCACAGACCCTGTACAGTTGCTTGCTGTGCCAGAAACTGATGTAATAGTTTTTGGAGGAGATTCATAAAATAAAGGTTTATGTAGAGTATATGTGTGTGTAACCTTGTGCAAGCATGCTGTAAGATTGCTTTAGGGTTTCAGATCTTTCCAGAGAGCTTATTCTTGCAGAAATCTCATGTGGGCTTCTGGCTAGACTGTATCTGATCTTTTTTTCCTTCTTTTTTTTGTTTCCCCAAAGTAACATACAATTGTAATGAACTGCTTGCAGGTCACCTTTTATTCCTCCTTCATGGAGCAAGTAGATACTTGATGTATCTGGAGGGCTGAAGTAGATATGGAAAGAAAGGCAAAACCTTTCTGACCCTAGCGAGTAGATAGTTTTTCCACTATTAATAGGATGTTTCTACTACAAATTATTGGTATACAATAATCCAATCCAGTTGTTTGTTTCCAATTATCCAACACAGTTATGTTTAATATAAATGTATATAATAAATATAATTATGTATACCTCTTAACATGCCTTTATATGAATAACTCCCTATCTATACTAAATATTTAATATTAGTATGTTTATTTACAGATGGTCTTGAATTCCATTAACAGCACTGGAAAGCAGTTTATGTTCAGCTTGTTATTGAAGAAAAGGATAAAAAACAAATTGTGGGTTAACTCATAATTATATCATTCCTACCCTTTAAAAATAGTAGTAGTGTGAATTGTCCCTGCTAGACACTGCATTTGTTACATTGTTTCCCTGTAGAAAGCATATGTATTTTTGACCCTTACTTTTTTTTTAAATAAAAATTTTATTTTTACAATAAAAAATAATAAAGTTTTTATCTTACCTTATTACTCTTATTACTCTGAATTTCATGTTGATATTATTCAGGAAGCTGTTAAGACAGCTGCATTGTATGGCAGACGTCAGCTTCTGCAATATTCTACTATTTTAATTATATTTACTGCATCCCTCCAGTACTTTGGGTTGGGCCTTTTTTTTAATTGCCTGCTAAAACAAAAAATAAGCAGCCATCTTTTTGTTCCCTCAAAGCAATAATCAGAGAGTTTGTTATGAAAACCACTGAATAACTGTTCCCTAGGTATTTTCTGTTATCTGTGCCTTAACCATAGCTAAATGGATAAGCTCTGGGGTAAAGCTGAAGTTAGACTGAAAATAAAGGACTTTGTCTTTCTATGTTCTTGTTTTGACTTGTGTTTATAACAGAAACAAGTTTTATAGTCCTAGTCGTATTAACAGAAACATGAAAGGTATGTCCTTAACAGAATGGTAGGGAGAAAACCAAACAAAAAAATTTCAGGTGGGCTGACACTTTAGCATTCAATGTATTTTTACTGTTCAGTTGTTTTTCTTTTAGAGAGGCAGTAGATAAAACTTAAATGTGGATGAATAGTAAGAGGTTTGCCTATTTCAGCAGCCTTATTTTATTTCAAAGGTCAAGAGTGTTAATTATTGAAATACCTAAAAAATATATGGTAGTTTCATGCTGAGACATCTTCTGATGTTTTTATGGCGTGATCAAAAAGTTAGGCTCTATCTTCTTGCCTATAACTTTATATTAAAAAATGTATCTTTGTTACTGTTACTCTGTTTCTGTTTTCTTTGTTCATACTGATACAGTATTTAGTGCTCTCATGAATTAATGATCATTAAAGCAGATATGTGTGCTACCATCCATGTAATGCTTTCTCAAAAAAAACCCTATAAAACAATTAAGGAGTGAATTGCAATGGCTGTCCAGGGCCTCCACTGCTGTGCAGAGCAGTATGAAGAAT